GAGAAACTTTTGGCCAAAAATAGAGGAGTGGGGGAAGGAAGTTGAAGAGAGTGCAGGAAGTTGTAGAGAGTGTAGAGAGTCTGATAGAGTGTATAGAGTTTAATTTAGGGTTAGATTGTGCGGAATTCTTTGAGAGATTGTAAGAGTGGAGGAAAAGTGAGAGATTTCTTCCTCCTTGCAGCTTCAAAGAATAATTCTGTGTACTGTAAGGAAAGGAAGAGATTCAGAGGAAATTTGAGGAGTTTTCTTGTGGAGGAATTAGAGATAAGTGGTATTTACTTATTGTAGTTTGTATAACTTTGCTTTTATATTTAAATTTCCAGTTTTGTCGTATCTTCCTTATGAGTTCTGAGTAGTTCTCTCTGTCTTTCTCCTTGTCTTGAGAATTTGTGAAATGGTGATTTGAACAGGTTGAGCCTTGAGAATGTTAAAGAAGTTGTGATGATCTTTTCACTTTGATCTTAATTTACTTTCAATATGGCCAATTGATTTGTTGAAGTATGTTGAGTTTTACAACTAAAGTGAAGATTACATCAAAGATTTAGGGAGGTCGAAGTCCTTGAAAGTTGGGTGCAATAAATAGGGAAATAAAATTATCGGGCGTAGAATTTGAAATTTTAGAATGACAGTCTAAAATCCTCAATTTGGACCTATCGTTTGGGTGCTGAAGTGTAGATTTTAGGCCTCAGGCAAAGGGAACGTAGGAGCTATGAAGTGAGAGCCGGTATCCTCCCAGCCTAACCGCAGATTCAGTAACCAAGCATAGGATTAGTCAATGTTCTTTATGCCTGGACCAAAGGGTAAAGAATAGGTATGCTCCTATTTGGCACAATCCAATTTGAACTAATTCACTTTATCCATTCACTTTAATTTCTTGACAAGGAGAATGATGCTTTCTTATATACTGAAGTTCACATTAGAAACATTATTAGTAAATTAGTTATTTAAGAGTTATTAAAATTACATATTTATTTCAATTGCCTATTAGTGACAGATAAGCAATTTGCACTATATTGTTGTGATTAAGTATTGATTTTCTAAAATCTTAGTTCGTAGCCTCTAATATTACTCCCTGTGGGATCGATATCCAGGACTCCGTTAGAGCCTGTATTACTTGAGCGATACATATACTTGTATTGATAAGTGTGACTTGCAATTATTGAATATTTTCTACACCTCTTTATCGAATCTATAACCGCTGTCATGTTTTTAGCGCCGTTGCCGGGGGATTAAATCTTCTAGGAGCAGTATCAAATTCTTTTATTCTTAAGCATATATAAAGTCTCTGTCAATGGTATATGAGGTCCAACTTTTTCAGAATGAATGAAAAGAATGTATTCTTTCAAAGATGATGTTGTGCCGAAGTTGTTCAAAAATTTAATGAAGAAGCTCGAGTTCAAATTGTTAGAGCCACAGAAGCCAGAGGAAGTTGATAAGAAGGATCATACCAATGTCTGCCCCTATCACAGGATGTTGGGACACACAATAGAGGTTTTTTTCAGTTTCAAAGAGTGGCTCGAGAGGACTCTTAAAGAATAAAAGATAACCATCCTGAAAGAATATTTAAAAGAACTTGAAAGAGGTTCTATAAATATGATATCGTCCAAGCCAATCACTCCGATAGATCTATATTCATAGGAACATGGATGGAGTACAGTTTGGAGCAAATCATCCGAGAAGATACTGGACCAGATTTAGATCGCTTGAGCCAAATCATTCGAGAAGATACTGGATCAGATTCAGATCACTTCAGCGCAGATAGCCATCCAGAGTCTACAGCCTTCCTAACCCAAGTTATAGATTTCACTAGAGAAACCACCGCAACCAGAGAAAAAGAAGAACATGGTCATGAAGACTGATAGCGCAAAGAGTAAGATAGGGGATACCTATGTTAGATTAGTTGTATCAGATTTGGGGAAGAAAATTTTCAAATTCCTGACCATGTATGATTATCTTTTTGCCCCACCGGGGTCTTTTGAATTAAATAATTATAATTTCGTCTACGTTTTAACTGTCTCTACTGATAACGTACTTGACTTTGGCCAATCTAACTCCGATTTCAACTCCCAAACCGATCCTCAAATCATACTTAAGTCTGATAAACATGCCAATGAAAATGAAGAAGATATCGACAACACCGGTTATGACGACGCCGAGAGTGAGGAACCAGTCCTCGCGTACCAAGGTGCACTGCTTTCCATTAACTTTGACTTCTCTGACATGGAAGAGGCACCAGAAATTTTACCAAAAATATCACAAGAAGAAGAAGAAGAGATTATAGAAATAAATCTAAGAAGTGGAAAGATATTACCCCTGAGAACAGCTCCAATGGATAAACAAAAACAAGTAGTCACTCAAGAAGAGCCCCGCGTTCGCCTGTGGAAGAGACACGTAACTAACTAAAGATTGAAGGATTGTATAACGTGAATTATAATATAATAGCTCATTTTAAGAGGTTTCCGACCAAACTAGGCATCTACAATGCTTCGATCTTGTCAAAGGAGATGAGAGAGTCTCTTGTTTGTGCTTTACTTAATCTAGAGATTTGCTTAGCTTAGTTTGCCAGAACATCCTCAAATGAAGTTTATTCATTAAAGGAACAGCCTGGGATAACCTTCACATATGAACACTTGTTGCTCGGCACCACTGACCACAACTAACCGCTCTACATCTCTGTTAATATTAGCAGATTTTTGTTGTCTAGAGTTTTGGTAGATCTGGCAACTTAATGAGTCTGAACATTTTCATACTTGAATATTGAGGATCAAGGCTTACAGTCAATAAAATGATGTTAAGAAGATTTAGCCAAAAGGGAGAAAGAACCATTGGATCAATTACGTTATTAATGAAATTTGGAGAGCTAGTAACAACCGCAAAATTTCATATCATCGACGCAGAGACCTCTTTCAATGCTTTACTTGGTCGACCATGGATTTAAGAGCATAACATGGTCTTGTCATCTCTACACCAGTGCATCAAGTTTTCTATCAAAGGATATGAGCATTGCATTAATGGGGTTTTACAACCATTTTCAGTTCATGAAGTGGACATCCACGAAGACGCCGCCTACTACGCACCTCCAAAGAAGATTATCTTTTTTTCATGAAACTTTGTCAAACGAGATGGAAGATTAAAAAAAACACAAGAAAAAGTCCATTCAACTCCACATCAATGATCTACTACCGTTTCTTCACAACGAGCTGGTACAGGCTGTTTTAGTACATACTCCCGAGATCGAGGTCGGAGACGTGGACGAGGAAGAACCAACACGATTGCTGAACTAACTAGGCTGACCATCAGCCTTGACATAGAAGAAAGTTTTGATGAAGAAATGATGATGCCAGAATAAAAAAAATCTCAATTCGAGATTTCCTTGGAAGATGTGGAGAAAAGTGAATACGAGTCAATGCATGATTGTATCAACCATTACCACCCTCACAAGGTTGAGAGTGTGGAGGTCAAGGAAGTTCATAGCATTGCCTTAAAGCTGATCAATTTTTTTTTGTGCTTCTCCTTCTACTAGTTCTAAAAAACCTGTAAATTTGGTAGAGAATTCTAATGAATTAATGGAATTACTTTTTGGTTACTTCTCTTCTTGTGTACAAAAGTTAATTCAGCAGGGATCTGTGTCAAAGCAAATTCCAAATGATAAGCTACAACTCTTTGAGAAATTGTGGTATGTTAAAAAATTAACTGCTAAATTTAAAGAAGGTCTTGGATTTAGTACTGTAGGACAAGTCGATGACTTGAAATTTTCTATGGTTGTTACTAACTAATTGGAAGAGGATTTCCTTGATGTTGAAGAGGACTCCGAAGATCAGTCAATAGATGATGCTTCACCAGAATTTGGAGAAGAAATTAAATCAACAGTGGATGAATTGAAAGAAGTCAACCTCGGGACTGAGGAGCAGTCCTGACCTACATTTATAAGTTCTTTACTCAGCAAGGAGGAATCCACATAATTGATAAAGTTATTATCAGAATTTCAAGATTGCTTCCCCTGGAGCTATGAAGAAATATCAGGGCTATTAGCAGAAGTTATAGTTTATAAGCTCCGGGTGGACAAAGATATGACCCCAGTGAAACAAGCTCTCAGAAGGATGTGCCTCGAGATAGAGCAACAAGTCATCACTGAGGTAAAGAAGTTAATAGACACAAAGTTTGTGCGGGAAGAGCAATACCCAATGGGGTTAGCCAGTATTGTGCCAATTTTGAAAAAGAATGGACAAATCCATGCTTGTGTTGAGTTCAGGGATTTAAATAAAGCGTGCCCAAAAGATGGGTTTCTATTATCAATACCAGAATTGATGGTGAACATTGCTTCGACACATAAGATCTTCCTTTTCATGGATGGACCATCAGTTTACAACCAAATCAAGTTGGCTCTAGAAGATGCAGCACTTACAACTTTCAGGACGCCGATTGGGATTTTTTTCTACACAGTAATGTCATTCGTGTTGAAGAATGCTGAAGAAACATATCAACAAGCTATGACGATGATCGTTGATGACCTCATCCACAATCAGGTGGAATGCTACGTGGAAGATTTGGTGATCAAAAGTAAATAGAAAATAAACCATTTAAATGATTTAAGGATCGTGTTCGAACAATTAAGATAATACAATCTCAAGATGAATCCCTTAAAGTGCGCCTTCGGCATCACCTCCAAGAAATTTCTAGGATTCGTTGTTCGTCATCTAGGAATCAAGATCAAGCTAGATAAGATTAAAGCTTTCTTGGAAATGCCACTTCCCATAACCTTAAAATAACCTCATTCCTTCCAAGGAAAGTGGGCATATCTAAGATGTTTTATTTCTAATCTCTTAGGAAGGTGTCAGCCCTTTTCGACATTAATTAGAAAGGATGTCAAATTTGTTTGGGAAGAAAAATGTCAGCTGGCCTTTGAGGATTCTAAGCAATATTTAATGACACCTCTTGGACCTTTGATACTTTATACCACGACCTTAGACAACTCTCTCGGAGCCCTATTATCTCAGGTAAATGACGAGGGTAAGGAAAATGCGCTCAACTGCTTGAGTCGCCATTCAATACCGACGGAGGTAAAGTATCTGCCTATTAAGAAATATTGTCTAACTTTAATTTTGCCACCAAAAGCTTAGACATTACATGCTTTCTCATAAGGTAAACCTTATTTTGAATGTTAATCCATTGCAATATTTGATGACTCGACCAACACTTTTCGAAAGTTTAGCAAGATGTTCGATGATTTTATTGCAATTAGATATAACTTTTGTTCCCCTCCGCACTATCAAGGGATATATTTAGCAAATTCTGTCGCAGAACACCCAATTCTAGCTGGGTCCCCTCTCATTGAAGAGCTACCAGATGAGCAGATACTACAAACAGAGCCATCCAGTGGCAGAGATTGGGAAATGTACTTCGTTGGAGCTTCATCAGCCAAAAAGAACAAATAATCAAAGATAATTATACCAGGTAAAATAGGAATTGGTCTGATTTTCATCACAGTAGATCAAAGTTTGTTGAGATTCTCCTATCACTTGACAGAAACATGCATAAATAACAAAGTAGAATATGAAGCATTAATCACCGGGTTGGATTTCTGATACACCTAAAATATATATTATTTTTAAACACATTTTATACCTATTTTTGAGATATTGCACTTTAATGGAAGGTATTTCTGTATTTTTCTTCCAGATAAAAGAAAAAATGGAAAAAATGCTTAAAGGAGTGAAAAAGGATCAAATTTGGAGCAAAAATATGAAAAATTGTGCAAAAGAGTTTTGGGGCCTAAGCACCAGATCCGGCGCTTAAGCGCCGGTTAAATAGAGAAGGCTGCGCCTACGTACCGAGACCTCACCCTTAAGTGCCAGTGGCAGTTAGTAGACGAATAAAATTGGTTTTCATGAATTTCAAAGAGGTTTTTGAGGCACCCATTGGTTGAATAGGTGGTTGTAACCACCATTGACAAAAATTATCATGAAAGGATGCGTCTCTTGGGCAAATCATCGAATCAACACACATTTTGAAGAGATCGCAAGGCACCTCTTGGAAAACTATAAAAGAAAGAAGAGTGGACATAGAAAAGAGTTTTGAAAAGGTCCGAAAAAGTATGAGTCCTGAAAATATTGGCAAGTTTTGAAAGTTCTTCTCTAGGAATTTAGTTCGGAGAGATTTTCAGGAACCACTTTTTATTTACTTTATCTTTTTTGTTATTTTATTTTGAGTGATTGTAAAAGAGAAGAGATTCAAAGGAATTTCAAGAGTTTGGT